CCGGATCGCCCGGCCGCATGCAACGGCTGCGGGTCGGCAAAGCAAGCGCGTGGCTCCCGGGGACCGCGGCGGCACCTAGACCCGTGGCCCTGCAGCTCCCAGGGCGCTCACGACTTCTGCTGAAGGCAGAGCATAGCCAGCGCCGACTCTGCGGGCAGGAGAAGGGCACGAGGAGGGGTGAAGGCCTTCGGCGCTCGCAAATGCCCCAGGGTTATTCAGGGGCGGCCAACAAGAAGCCAACGCTGGGAGAAGCGCGGCTCTCGCCGTTAAGAGCGTGTCGGCACAAGGAGCGCCGGGAGCTGGCGGAGAGCTCCGAGCCGAAGCCCGGCTCGAGCCAGGCCGGAGGCTGGCTTTGAAGTCTCTACCTAGACACAAAAAAGAAGCGTTTAGAGGCAAGCACGTTTTGTTTCGTTCTCCCGTTAAGTCTTTGAAAGCACAGATCAGACTTATTAGAGGCAAATGCTCCTACGGGCAACTTTTTCTGACCCATTTCCAACCGGTTTCAGTGCTGTCACTCTCAATCTCGGGAAATTTTCCCAGGGTATGCTGCAGAAATTTCAGCACAGATTAAACGAGATCAAGGTTTGAGACGACTGAACTGCCGTTTGCACAACGCCCAGGCAAAGCGAGGGAAGAAAACTCCTGCCCGGCGGGCATGGGCCCTCAACCTCGGCGGCACCGGGAAAGCCGAAGCCAGCTCCCTCCGCATCACCTACGGGGACCAGAGGCACCGGGAGGTGCTGCTGCTTCCCCCGGGCCGTGCCGAGGTGCTGGGGTGCCCAGCCCTCCCGCCTAGCCACCGTGTCCACAAGGTCACTCTCCTTCGGAGACAGCACCGCCGCAGCCCGCGGATAGAGCCGGTGAGATAAAAGCTCAAGCTAGTCCTTTAAGTCTTGTCTGCCAGGAACAATAATAATAATAAAGACTATACAGGAGCCAGCTAAGAGCTCGAGGTCCATCCTTGGCTCCAGCCCCTCTCCTCCTTTTTGTGCAATAGGTGATCTTGATAAAATAGAATAATAGTAACAATCTGCTCCATTAGTACAAAACATTAAGGGAATTATTGAATGAGAAACAGGAGAGGCAGCTGGCAAAAAGAGCTCTAACGACCATTATGTTTTAACCCTCTTTCATTCCCAGGATAATGGAGATGCAACGCACCCTCCCAGCCCTCTTTCCAAAATTTCTTCCAAAAAGGAAAACAAAAAAAAAAAAGAAAGAGGGAAAAAAAAGAAAAATCCAGAGATAAAGCAGACCAGCAGCCACACAGAGGACAGGGTGGTCGGTAGGAACGCAGCGCTCTCTCCAGCCTTATGCTGCTCACAGGGCACTTTCTGCACCAGCAGGATGCTGCAGCACAAAGGAAATCTTTCGCTGGGACTGAAAACTGGTGCTCGATTCCCACCTGGCCTTGCTCAAACTGCATTGCTCAAAAGCAAAGATAAAGTCAGGGCCCAATTCTCCATCACACTCAAATCTCTCCGAGTTCCTCTGATCCATGAATAAGTAGGGGCTATCTCCATCTCTACTGCTGGTAGAGCCCCACATCCTGGCTCTCCATCACCACGTGGAAGACCCCATCAGCAGATGAGATGACAGGCAGATGCGAGTAACCCCATGGCACTCCTGGCTTTTATAGCACATCTGTACATACATTATGTCCCTCAAACACCAGAGCTCTGCGTTACACCTTGCACATGGTGGGCGATAAACAAGAGACACAAAGCTAGAGCTCAAGTTGGGCAAAAGTTCATTTGTGGGGGTCTAAAAAACGCTTACTATTTAATTGAAACTGGAATTTCTTCTGCTCCAGTAGTCTGAGTGCTCAAACTATGCTTGAGAATAAGCCTTCAGCCGCTTCAGACTTGGAGAGGCTCAAGAGGGAGGCACTAAAACCAGCACTGGCATCTCCATCGCTCCTCTACCAGTTGGAGCAGGTCAGGGAAGGCACAGGAACCATCTTAGACCCCAAGTGTCTCTCCACATGAATGCAGAAAACTAGTTCTGGCTTCATCTCATCACACTGGACAGGCAGCAGCAGTTGCTAGAGGACCCCTGCACTAGACAGATATGCTGGAGCGTTTCTCGGAAAAAAAGAGAGCCTCGCGAGGTCCATGTGCAGACCACGATCGCAAGCGGTTTCAAGTGATGGACACAGCCTATCGCTCACATTTCTTCTCTTGGCAACCAAACAGGAAAGAAAACCAGGCTTGAAAATTACACGTGATGCTGATTCTTGGCACAAAAACCAACCTGTTTTTGTAAGGGTGTGAGGATGCCGCCTGAGAGGCACTGAGAGCGATGAGAAAAGAAAGGGGAGAGGGAGAATTCAATCTGTAGTTACATATTTTGACGTACAAGAGCAGCAATTAGCAGACATGCTTTTCATTAACTTGATAATAAGCCCTACCTCAATGACTCCTTTCTGGATCCTGTTATTTGCCAGCGCTCAAGAGAGTCAAGACAACGGTGGTGCATTCGCATACAAGCATAACTTCACGTTTCACTTCACGGCTGCGTGTTTCGGCCACGCACGGGAGCACAGATCACCTCCCTCTCACAGATCACCCCAAAAGGCTTGGCCAGGCCCAACACGATCATACAGGCGTTGTGAAGCTGGAGAGGTGGGAAAGGAGGAGCCATGGACCCACTGAATGAGCACCGCCAGGAGATGACCAGACCCCCGTGAAGCTGCTGTGTTCGTGGCTGGAGAAACCTGCAGACACTGGTTCGGCCGCCCGCTGGGACATGCAGCCTTTGCGCCGAGGCGTAACCCTGCGTGCTGCTCTCCTCGCTGGACCACGGGAGCGAGGTCCTTGCGAGCAAAGCTCAGAGAGCCTGGGGAGCAGGGAGCCAGCTTAGGGCTCCCCTGCAAGTCCACCGCATCCCCTGGTTCCCAAGAGGCCGCACATCAGCTCATAAGCAGGAAGGAATAAAAAAAAAGAAGAATTAAAAATAAAAGAAGTGGACTACAATGTTTTGGGGTTGGCTTTACTAGTGATTTTTTTTTTTCCTGAGACTAATCAAGCACAAATGATGTAGGAGAAACCTGGCCTCGGGCTGCAATCTGGAAGAGCTATTGACACTCTCATTAGGGTAGGCACCATTAAACAGCCTGTTTGCAGCCTGGGCAGCACATTGTCTCCAGCTAATTATCTTCTGGTGGCAAAAAAAAACCCAAACCAAAACAAAACAAAACAGAAGCCCAGAGGATTCTTCAGATTCTTCCCGAAGATAAGAAAAAAACTCCAAAATCACCTCAAAAAACACTGCTCCCTGTCTTCCCCCATTTCTCTGCCCTTGAATTCTTTTCCCGCGTTTCTGCAGGACGGCGGAGAGCAGCGGGGAGAGCCGGCCGGGGAACGCAGCGCCCTCCGCGCACCAGAGACTCGCGCTTACGGGAAGCCCAGGCTTGCAAAAATCAAAGCCACCGGGCTGCAGCGCTGATAAAAGCGCCCGGCGGAAAAGCGCCGCTCGTCACCTAACGGAGCTGGGAAGGAAGCAGGCGCCGGATCTGCGCAGACGCTGCGGGCACGGAGGTGGAGAAGGAGCGACAGATTCCCTTCCCGCTCGCTCCCCATGTCTCCGGGGCCACGACGAGCGCGCGGGGGGGCCAGCCGCTGCTATTTTTTGGTCACCGGGGTGCCAGAGGCAGCTGAGAATCAAAGCGCGGGGTCTGCAAGGCGCAGGGCGAAGGACTCTCGAAAAAGTCAATCTGAATTAACCCCAGGCAGGCGGTTAAGACCTTTAAACCACAGCACCACCGAAGATAAAAGCACACCTGCAAAAGAGCCAGCCGTAGCCCGGATCCGGTCGGGCGGCATTCATTTGGAAAGCGATGCGAGCTAAAGGGAGAGTTTAAAGCCATCCTGATGCGAGCTAAAGGGAGACGTTTAAAGCCATCCAATTTAAAAGTACCTCTGCTTGGGCCTCGGGAGGAAGCCCCGTGCGTAGCACCAGCGGCAGCCGGGAGCTGCCCAGCTGCTGGGAACATCTGGATGCTCTGGAGCTCAGAGAGCACGAGACCCGCTCAGTGACCCTCGCACGCGCAGCACCCTCTAGGCCACGCTCAGCTGCAGCAACATGGGGAAATATATGGGTTTTCAAAGGCCCAAAGACCCAATTTTCTAAAGGTTTCCAGATCCCTAAATCTCTCCGGGTTCAAATCCCGGCCCTTAAGAGCTCTGGGGAGCAGGGACGGTAGCGAGAGGGGAAGCGAGGTGCTCTGCGCCCTCGCAGTACGTACCATGACGGAGATGTGGAGGATCCTCAGCTCCTCCTCAGCCGACTCGGTCTGGGGCTCCTCAGTGGGCTCGAAGCCGGGCAGATTGGGGGCACCGTCTTGGTGGTGGATGTGGAAGAGCAGCGTGCCGTTCTCCAGCCACTGCTGCCGCCAGCGCACCAAGGGGATGTCGTCCGTGTTCCCCGAGATCTCTGCAGAAGGAAAGCAGGTCACGCGTGAAATGCGGCACAGGAGAACCACCAGCGGGGCCGTTCACCTCCTTCCAAAAAACGGACAGAGGGAGCAACCGGCTGCACCGGCACCAAGCTGGCCCCAAGGCACATGCGCTGGTGAGCTTGTAAGCTGAAGGTGTCCGTCCACCTCTTCATCCAGGACCACCACCGTCCCCCTCCCTGCCAGCCACCCACGACCAGGAGAAGACCCGCAGGCAAAATCAGGGTTGCAGACCCTCTTCTCCTTGAACAGCAGAGTAAATTTTCTCCCAAATTACAGGCGGCTCTACAAGTATAGTGCCAATGAACCCAGCTGTAATTGTGGTGTGGGGACGTGGCACGTACCAACAGCATCTTCTGGCCAGAGCCACCAAGTCTGACAGCATCTTCCTGGCCCTAATTCAGCCGGGGTTTACACGTGCGCTTAATATTAAACACGGCTCCAGTCTTGGGGAACCGAGGATCTAGGACAACTTCTCAGCAGCACTAATGGCATCACTGGGATCCTGCTGCTCATCCGCTCATTATTTCAAACAGAAAATATTTCCCTTTCCTTCATGAACGGACGAGTCTGCATGCAGGTGGCAGAGGCAGACGTGAGCCACGATCAGACTCGCAAGTCTGGCTGTAACGGAGAGGCATTAAGAGGCCTTTGGCCAAAAGTCTCTGGCCACTTTTTGCAGCTCCCCACACAGGCGACAGCCCCCAGATGTGCAGATGCACCTTCACGTTTGCCCAAACACTCTGACTTTGCTCAAGTACTTTTAACTTCAGGGCTTTTCTGCACTGGAACAGACAGGCAGGGCTGGGTTAAGGAGCAACGTTACATGCCGTTGCGACGGCAGATGCATGGAAACGCAAGCAGGAGGGACCGGGAACAGCTGAGGACGGGGACGTGATTCCTGAAAAAAATAAGCTTCATTTGCATTTGTTGGAATGACCATTAAAAACATGATGAGCTTCACAACGAGATACAGCCCTTCTCCCTGCCTCCGCTACACGGGACCCATTCTCGCCATGCACATCTTCTCATTCCTATTTGCAGTGGCACATTTTTATTGTGCTGGGAAATAGCATGGGCTCACTTTGCAAATTGTCATCTTTATTCCACTTGTCTCGAGCTGCCTTCAAACGAAAACCAGAATTCAATTATGGTGCCAAAAAACAACATTTTAAATCTACTGTTAATTAATTTCATTAGGCTGCCTTAAGTGAGCTAGCTACCAAGGGGGAAAAAACTGCATCAGAAACCAGGTTCGCCCTTCCAAACTGATTTGATTAATCAAAAGAAACATTAGCTGCAGCAAGTGAATTGGCAGCTTGTTTCTGCTCAGCACGGGCCATATTTCTGGCGGTAACCAGCGCGCTTAAAGCGTCCCAAGCAGAGAGACGCCGAGCTCTCCTCGAATCACCGGGACGCAAAACGGAGAGGAGTTAAAGCATCTATCCAGCCAGAAGCACTTTTGAAATTCCCTCTAACTGCTGAGCTGCGTATTTAGGGCGCACAGATCCCCTTTGAAAATCCGGTCCCGGGAGCTGCGAGGGCTGGAAAAAGCAGATCTCCTCCTCTCCCACCTGGTCTTTATTCATAGGCTGAAAGGGGAAAACAGGCTTTCCTGCTTTCTCAACTCCCCACGGCTTCCCAGCTTCAACTGAACTAGCTCAAATTGAAGAAAATATTCTCCCCGCACCTGCTTGCTAACGTGAAATTAGGAGTAATTAAGGCAAGAGCTTTTATGCACAACAGGAACTCAATGCACTGACATTTGGAAAAATGTAAATACCAGCATTTGCTCCATTGTAAAAAACTGAAAATAATAGATACTAAGTATATGACATTGTGACATTTAGAAAGCTAGAGTTAAAGATGTTTTCCCCCTGATTTGACATATCATTGAAAAAGCAGCACCCTTCAGCTCATTAATATTTGAGGAGGACTCCTTGATGGAAGTTATTTAAGTGATTAATAGATTATAGTAAATTTAGGCCTTAAAATAGGTTGTCATAATTTCAGATTTATTTAAACAGCCTTATTTTTAAAAAGAAAAATGTATTTCAATAAAAAATGGATTCTGATTTTAAAAGAGCACAATCTAGCTGCAGAGCTGTCACATGTTATCTCCTCTCCCGCCAGACACCACCGGGCAACCCTCGGAGCTCGCTCCCTCCCTCCCTCCCGGCTGTCTCGCAAATAAGTCAGAAGTATGGAAAAGAAGAGAAATGGCAGAAGTCAGCCCCCACCACCCGGATGCGTCCCCCACAAAACCGGCAGGCAACGACATCTCTATGGACCCGCGGGGCAGAGGCGCTCCGTCGGCCGCTGCTCCCATCCGGGGTGATGGCTCCGGGGCAGCACCCAGAGTTTTATCCCAAAGGCGTGTGGAGAGCCACGAAAAGGCAGGAGGAGAGAGGATCATTTCAAGTTCAAAGTGTGAAAGATATTGATGATAGGCCTGGTCTCCACACGCCTTTCATTAAGGCCTTGGATGTGCAGCCATTAGCACTGGTATTAACTTCTTGCACCTCCGTTAAAAAATAGCCTGGCTGAGTCAGGGGTTAATAACAGTAGGAGACCACTAATTACACCGCAATGCGTTAGCTTGGTATCAAACGCGGCCCAGGTCCTTGACATCTACAGGAACATCAGAACATCAGCCTCCAAAGACCCCGGCTGATGCCTCCAACATAATGGCGATGGCTGCTCCCCTCCCTGACCATCTGTGACGGGAAGGAGGGGGACAAGAAAGGTTGAAGAGGAGCAGATCCAGGCAAGGAGAAGAGGAAAGTCCAGATGAAGTCACTGGAGGCTGGCAGCTGCAGACCTGCTGCGGGAATGCCACCTGCCTCATTATTGATCGTTACCCTACTAACCTCGATTAATGGAGGAAAACGGCTCACCTCCAACAAATCTGACACCTCGCAGCGTGGGCTCATGCCTACTTCCTCCCCAAAACACCTGCTTCAATGAGCCGACCTCCCCACGTGCGTGACCACGGATGGACAGGGGGCATAGATCTGAGGGGCCAACGTCTGCTCCGCTCGTCCTCCACTTCTCCTGCACCAGCCAGTACAGAGCAAAGGGTATTTTCACCAGTGGGCTGCCAAGCTCGTGGTCTTTCTGAAGGCAATGGGGACCTTGCTGGGAGCCAAGCTTGGCCTCAGCAGCTCAATTTCGCCTGCCTGCCCTGAGCTGATCTACCTGAGATGGTGCAATGTCATAATTACAGCCCCCTACCCCGAGCCCGGCGCGGACATCCAGTTATTCCCATTTCCTCGTTCCCCCTTTCAGACCTGAGAACTTGTCAGGAAGAGGAAGAAACCCCATGCGTGCACGCAAAAAAGCGACTCTCCTTAAAAACACCCGCCAACGTTTTGATGAAAAACGGCAAAACAATTTTCATTTCCATTTGGAAGCATTTTGCACTAATAGATGCCTCTGATTAGTCAAATGAACTCTGCCATAACGCCAGTCTCTGCAGACTCATTTTATACAGCAGAGCACAGATTTTGACTTGGACTTATATTTCCTCGTTAACATTTAAACCTGGCTTATTTTCTGTCTGGAACCCGACTGCGTTTTTATTTAAGTTCCACATTAGCTAACCCTTTTGCTCCATGTCGAAAACTTGCGTGTCCTTTAAAGGGCTCCGACTCAAACGAAGCAAGCTCTTGCCTTAGCCTCTTTCAGGACTATCTGTCCTCGGAAAGACCTCGGGAGCGGGTCAGGCACCGTTCCCACAATGAGCCGCTCACCTCATGCATTCGGGTGTCTCCAGCTCAGAACTCGATTCAAATAAATTCAGGTGTCAAAATGCATATCCTGACACGTAAAGATTTTTTACTTCCGAGATTTTACTGACATATCTTTCATGGGATAATATACGTTTTTATGGGCCCATTTAAAAAAAAAAGAAAAAAAAAGATCACATTCATCACTGAATATCTGTATTTTTCCCCTCCCCCTTCAGTTTCAGGTAGGAAAAAAAGCCCAGCCTGTAGGTCATTCTGCCTTTTTAAGACACGCTTTCCAAGCACCTTGGGCAAAATTTCCAAAGGACCTGTGGACACGGGAGAATCTAAAGATTCAAGAAAAAGGTCATCCAGTATTTTTGGAGCCACTCTCTGGCCCTGTCAGAGACACCATCCCACCGTGACGTCTGCACGCCGGTCGGTCGCGCGCAGCCCCCAGCTGCTGCAAGGCTGACAGCTAACCAGGTTTGTCCTCGTGGTGCACGGTGCGTTCGCTTTCGGGAAAGTCACCGAGTAACACCAGGAGTTACTCTCCAAAGCTCTAGCAAGCTTTACCCTCGAACGGCGATTTTTCTCCTGAATATGCCACGGCCCTAACTGGTCCTTTAACAACAAAACCCTCCTTTACTCTTCGAACGACATTGTGCCGCGCTGCTGCTTCCAGTGCGAAAGATCCTGATTTCTCATTAACGGGTCCCAGCCGACCAGCTTTGCTCTGTAGCTCCTGCCCCTACGAGATATGCCCCATTGTTCCACCAGCCTCTGCAGACCCAAGGACGTACTTGGCTACGCTTGTGCAACATCCCCTCCGAGGTTATTCGCCATTGCATTTCACAAGTTTGACCAAAAACTGGGCAAAAGCTTGGCTGATGCACACAGCTGCAGCACGCAGGCTGGAACTTTTGCCGGTGTTTGATTTTTACTCATGTTTTGTTAGTTTGCTTCCATCTGCCGTAAACATGAAATACAGGGGAGATCTGGGAAGTGAGACAAATCTACGTCCTGGACCAATGCCCTGGAGATGTGGTCACAGGAAAAAAAATAAAATAAAGAAAATAAAGCAAGCCCTGCGCTCCATACCAGGACAGCAGCTGAAATAAAGAGGATGCATGTCAATAACTTAAGGGATGAGAGGCTCATATCTAAAGGCCAGAGAGGGCCACTTTTGTTGTTGACTTTTGTTGTCGTCTCCTGCACCTGGGAGGCGTCAGCCAATTCTTGGCATTTTCACAGGCTTAACACCTGTAAGCCCCCACATTCCCATAAAAAAAAAAAAAAAAATCACATCCCCTCACTTGCCTAAGCAGCACAGCCAAGTTTTTCCCAATTGCCTACTGACGCTCAAGTGTCAGAACCTGGGGGGAAAGACCCACCTGAAAAAGAGTTGTTACACAACGTCCCCGGAGTGGATACCGCCCCGTTAGGCGGAGGCAGCCTGCCAGTGCATCACTAAGACTGACAGTTGAGCAGAGAGGAAGAGGAGCGCTCAGAGGAGACGCAGCCACGTGTGGGGTGAGTTCCCCACACCGGTGTCCGCTCAGAGAGCGCAGGGCATCTCCCACCCTGGAACGGTGCCCTCCCAGCGGACAAGTCAGCAAAACTGGCTCAAACGGCAGCCTTCGTTGAGGAGGTTTTAGAACAAATCGATAAAACGAGCAGTATGAATCACTCGGCCCAGATGGTATTCACCTACGAGTGCCAAAGGAGGACAGCTGCAGGGCTCGGGCGACACATGACCTATCGCTCGGAAAGGGTGAGCTACCAGAGGAACAAAACTTGGCAAAGGAGACCACAGTCTCTTCAAAAAGCTCTCATGCATCCTGGAAATTATAGACTAGTAAATCCTACTTCTGCCCTGGACAGTTAGCAACTGCAATAAAGCAAAGGAACTGGTAGGCACATGGATAAATATGGACCACTCAAAGCTGTCCGTAAGCCAGTAGACAAGGGTGATCCAGTGTGATAGCCTCGTTTCACAGAGCTCTCTTTGAAATCCACCCTCCAGGTTTCCCAAAAAGTGTACGTGGGGATGGGATAACAGGGTACGTCCTCTTGAAGCCCACCAGGAAGGGAAGGAATAGGGGGACAGCTTTCACAGCAAAAGGAGGTTACCAGGGACCCCATGGAGATCTTTGCTAGGACCTCAGCAGTGCAGAAGAGGAGGTGAATAACAAAGTTGGCCACCGGTTCTAAATTTAGTCTCCTCAAAGCTAAAGCTGTGAAGTGCTACAGGAAAGCAGGCAAGAAAATGGCAGGTGAAAGTCAGCTTCGGTGAAAGCAACACGACCTCGAATGCTGCTAGCAGTATTCAGGTCATTCATCTCAGAAAGGACGCAGCAAAACTAAAAGGGTCCAGAGGAAAGGGACAAGGAAGATTAGATGGAGATGGCTTTACGGAGAGGAGGAACTAACTGCATTAGGACTCCTCAGTAAGGAATCCAAACAACTGAGCAGGGATATGATAAAAACCCATAAAATCATGAAGCCGGTGGAGCAGCTGAAAAGAGAATGATTATTCGCTATTTCTCACGCTACAAGAATTAGGAGTGTAAAAACTAACAAAAGGCAATGTTTCATCCACCATAAAGTATAAAAGCATTGAAAAGGGAATTAAATTCAAGGAAAACAGATCTATCCGTGGCTATCAAGCACAACAGCCCAGAGACAAATTCCTGCTCAAGAAATCCCTAGGGCACAGATGCTGGATGTAAGGGAAAGGACCACGCAATATATGCCTTGTTTTTTACATTTTTTTCCCCAAACATCAGCTACTTGCCATAGTTGGCGACGAGATGCCAAGACACACAGCCAGAGGGATTGACCCGGGATCATCTGCAAAGCAGCATGATGTCCCAAAGGATGCGCTCAAAAATCACCAGGCAAAATGGAAATCCGGAAAATGCCTAGCTTTCTCTGCTAGCCAGGCACCACTCTCCCACCGCCCTGGAGAAGAGCTTCCCACGCCGCAGACTGCAGCACCCTGGCGGTACCTGTCTCTCCTGCATCTGGTCAGACTCAGAAACATCCTTGCCTTCCTTTTCTGATAGGTTTCCAACAGAAAGCTTAACCCAGTGGACCTCTCAAATCCCCCAGGGTTCACTTGTTTCCACAGGAAGCCGTTTTGAACCCCAGGAAAGAGCTAGAGCTAAAATTTCTACCCTGCAAGCAAGACCAATGCCCCAATATTGCTGAACCCCTCCGGTTCAACATCTGGAGGCGAGGGCTTGGGTCCTACTTCTTTAAATACTCCAATAAAATCAGTAGGAAGATAAATAGTAAAATGACCAATCACAATGTCTCAGGGGTTTTTCAACCTCATAGTCCCCGATTTCTTCTCACTTGTGCTTCCCTCCTCCAACTACAGACTCCAGAGACATGTCGCAACGCCCCTGTCCCTTGCACTGCCCACCACTTTGGGGACAGAGGGCGGCTGCAAAGCCTGCTCGGTGCTATCCAGTCCACGGTTAGAGGACACATCCCACGCCAAGGTGTCCCTTCACGAGCAGCAGAGACCGTCGTGTCCCTCTGCTCCTCCAGGCACTGCCTCGCTGGGGAGAGGAGACACAGAGACAGGCTCTTTGAGATGGGCTCCTGCTACCCAGTCGACGATCCCCTCCCTCTACACCTCTGTGCCTTGAAATCCCACAGCTCCGAGATATCTACCAAGATTACTTTCCGAGTCAGCCAGCAATTTTCCCAGGGAGGCAAACAGCTATTTATATCCATAGCGGGCTGACAGGGAAGGTAACGGCCAGCCACTCCAGACCATCTGCCAGGCACTTAGCAAGACATCAGAGCATATCGTCCAGGCTAGGTCAGGCAGAGACGGTGGGGGGACAGGAGGGGGATGCATTAGAGGGACAAGACGGACTCCACTTCAAGGGTAAACTTCAGCCCGCTCCCGCAGACTAATTTGTTTAAGTGCTCGTTATGCTGAGGCCAAGAGGTCAGGCAAATTAGACATTATTTTAGCATCCTCAGCCTTTGCACGGGAAACGAGAACAGCCGGTCGTTCCTCATCTGCAGGTGGGCTGGGGCGGTCTCCGTGCTGAAGACACAACCGAGAGTTTTCCAAGGAGGGGATGACCCTCCTCCTCCTCCTCCTCCTCCTCCTCCTCCTTCCTGCTCCCCAGCAGGGCCCAGCGCTGGTGTCTGACGCCGAGGGCAGGATGAATCCGCACCCGCGCCGCCGCACGGGGATGGAGAAGGCAGGGGAGCCCTTACTCGCCGGGCGCGCTCCCCGCGGCTCTCGACACGGGTTATCGTCGCAAACTCTCGGGTGTTTGGGAGCGCGTAACCCGATTTCAAGCTCCGTCTTCAAGTCTTTGAGAGATAGCGGAGAGGGAAGGAAAAAAAAAAAGAAAGAAAGAAAGAAAGATGGAGAAGGGGAAAAAGTTGACTCTGCAGCTGAAATTTATCACTTTTGAAAGAAGAGCTTGTCAAGAGGGCCAGAGACCAGCCAGTGCGCAGTGATCAATGGGAGGACTTTCGGGTCTAGTCAAGCTTGTTTCAGATTTACAGGAACTGAATAGAGGCATAAATCTGTCACTGCCTGACGAAAATGGTGGTAATTAAATCTGCAGGTGTATATAATTGTCATATTGATGATCTATATAAATCAGCGGAGCCAGCAGAGGCACAAAGGCATCGGGTTCAGCGCGGATCCTCCCCGAAGAGGAATTTTTTTGCCTACCGGCCTGGCGATAGGATGTACAAAGCACGGCCCGGGCAGAAATCCACTTCACCTTCACGAATCTGCCCCTTTCCTCGGTCACCACCAGCCTCTCCTCACTGCAGAGGCGCCTGCCCGATGCTCCTCTCAGCCCCGGGACAAATCCAGGATATTTCTCCTTCCTCGGCAAACCCGTAAGGGATCGCTCCCCTGTGCAACAAAAGCGGGGGCAAAACCCCCACTGCTTTCAACGGACGTCATCGCCCAGGGCCTTGTGCCGGCTCCTTCAGCGTTTCCCTCGACTCCAGGAGGACGACGACGGGACCCCCACGCTTCGAGATTTCAGCCTGCTGCTCTCTCGCAGCCGAGCGCAGCCGCGGCAGGGGGCTGCTTGCAGCACGCATTGAAGCGCCGAGCCTGGGTGCAAGCAGGGCTTTGACTTGATCTTTTTCTCTTCTCTTCTCTTTTTTTTTTTCTGATTTGTGCTAACCTTTGTCATTTTGGGAACTCTGAAGCCTGAGCTGCTCTGAGCCTGCCGCTTTTGTTGGAAGGGCGGAAAGTGCAGAGCAGGGCAATGAAATGAAAGAAGGGGAGAACCGGGGAGCAAAACAGGCAGGTGATTCAGACCCGAGGGCTACGACAACCCCTTTGCCATCTCTCTCGCACCCCAACAAACCCCATGCAGCGGGATGTGCTTTGTGCATCTTCTACAGGCAACTACGAGAAATGTGGGCACCTAGGCGCAGGGAAGCAAAGCCAGCCCGGCTCACAGGCTGGCGATCTGCACGGGGACCATTTGATGCCCCACGCGGCTCCCCGCTTGCTACGCGCCCGGCACATGGACAGCCTGGCTGCCTGCTCTCCCAGGGCAGCAGGACCTCTGGACCCCGCAGGCCCCCGCAGTTTGGCACAGGGGAACCGCGCAGCGCTATCGATGCTGCTTACGGACCGTTTGACCGCTTGCACGAAGCCGTGGCGATAGCAGGAGCCTTTCATAGCAAGCGTTTGTAGGTCAGAGAGTCTGCCCGCCACGTCAACGCCCCGCACACGTCACGGCTCGGTCGACCAGGCGCCCACAGGTTTCCACTGCACCAACCGACCCTCCTAAGAGACCACTAAAAATGGCCAACAGCAGTTTTATATCGTTCACGGCACAGACGTGCCCGCTCCCCTCGGGAAGGAAAACACAAGACGGTTGAAACCTTCTCTCGATGAAGCCAAGGAGGGTTTTGCCCTCGGTTTCAACCAGTTTGGGGTTTGGCCGGGAGCGAGCAGCTTGGTCGCAGAGAGCCTGGTCACACCGGCTGGGCCGGCTGTCAAAGCAGAGCTGCAGCCACGACCCCGCTGACACAGGCTTTGGTAGGCTAAAAAAACCCACCTCGACCTGAGCCTAGAAACCACCACCAGCCCGGCACCGCGGTGCAGGCTCAGGATCTGCTCCCACGATCGCTGCTGAGTGCTGCAGACCACCGATGGTCCTGAGCTGCAGCTCCGGTCCTGAGGGACCCATCGCCAGGGCCAGGGCCAGGGCCAGGGCCAGGCTACAGCCTAAAATTCATGCACTTCCCCAGCTTACGGACTCAAGTCTTTTAGTAAGCAACCAAGCTGCTGTTAGCATCACGTTCACGGCATCAGCGATACTCCCGGCCAGCCACCAGCTTCGCGATCGCCATCCTTCTGCGTGGGGTTAATGGCAAATCCCTCTCCCCAGCCCAACAGCACCGCACAAGCTGTACTCTTCTGCCTTGGTGCAGGATGAGACGTCTCACACCCCCAGCTTGCGAGTGGCATTTTTGAAATTTGGGCTGCCCAGACCTCCGCTGCGTTCAGATGGTCCCATGAGGAACGGACAGGAGAGCAACGGCAGTGCAGAGGTTCAAGAGAGCTCCCAGCCGCTCGGCTCTTCACCCCGGTGAGCTGGGAAGTCCGGACGCGTAGGGGACGAGCCGCCAGGGCGCCCTCTCGGTCCCCTCCTGGACCAAGGAGGGACGGACACTTCACTGTGGGCTAGAGCTGAACGGCAACTTTAACCCTCACCCCGGCAAAAAAGCCGTCAACGCTTTCAGCTGCAGAGGCCGGGCAGAAACCTGGCTCAGCTTCCCCTGATACGAAACGAGGCACTAAGTGCCTCTCGGGCAGCGAGTCAAACGCTGAGGCTCTGGCCGAGGCTCTGGCCGAGGCTCTGGCCTCTCCCAGGCCCACCTGGCCGTTTCGAGAGGCTTTCCCGTGAGTAACGCATCGCCTTTCCCAACCAGGAGCCGGGATGGGCGCCCGCAAGCCGAGCCCTCTGCTCAGGTAGGGAGTTACGTGCAGGCAAAAATTGAATAATTAAAAATTAAACGAGTGCTTCTGCATTGCAGTCCAAATTATGTAACATCGCTCTTCGTTTTCAACGCATTAATATAATTGCACATTAAAAACAGCCCTGCCTGTGCTCACCTATATATCCTTTAAACCCAAAGAGGCAAACAGCTGCCGCTAGGAGACTGGAGCATCCCCACACGAGCCCTTCCAGGCCTCTTTTAAAGGTGGAAAACCAGCTGAGGACAGGACTGGAGCGGGCACAGACCAAGTGCCCGCGGTCGCCCCGGCTCCCGGCGGCCAAGGCTGCGGTGAGAGCCCCTGGCCAGCCCCACCAGGGAGAGCAGAGACGCCTGGGCACGGCGCTCGCCCGAGGAGCCCACCGGGGATTTCAGCGAAAGGGAGCTGCCTGCTGTCTGCTCCTACTGCACCAAAGGGGAGAAGCATCGTATTTTGGTGGATAAACAGTATTTTTGTAAATAAACAAAATTAATCAAGGCCTGGAGCGAGCTGCATTTTTAGTGATCTCAAGAGCAAAGAGCCCTGCGAGACACCGCGCGCTGGGTTAACTAGGAACACCTGCATCTACGGACACCCCCGCATCAGGACACAACCTTCTCCTTGTCCTCAAGGACCAGCCCAACCAAGGGCCAGCAGGAGAAACCTCAGCCTTCTCCTCCCTTCCCCATGACCCCAAATAAAATGCCGCACAAGACACGAAGCCTTTTGGGAAGCATCTGGGTTTGGAAGGCAGTCAGCGCCGCGATGTGATCTTTTTGCTGAGGATGGAGCAACGCTCAGCCTGGCCTCTTCCTGGGCTAGAAACCACCCCCCAACACCCGTGGAGACACAACTTGCCCTTTCTACACCCTCCCCAAATGCTCTTCCTCCTTCTCCAGCTATCCCAAAACAGAAGTTACCACCTCCTGAGAAATCAGCCATTAATTCATATTAATAAAGCCTTAAAGAGTGTTTTATTGAGCCACGTGTACTGCAACATCAAAGCCAACGCGCAGAGACGTGAGGAAGACGATGCCCATTACATCCCCTGCTTCCGTCCCCGGCGCGAGCATCTTTGTCAATACATCCCTTAAGTATCTTAAGAACTGCTGCTCCTCATTCCCGTTGCTTATTGGCTTTTGCGCGGTTCCTCCAATTATTTTCTAATTCTTGCCATCTCGTTTCTCCTTTCATGTCTCTGTTCTTCCTTTTCTACTCTGCCTCCATTTGCCTGATGCTTTTATATGCTTAACACTGATGTGTCTCACATGTAAACTTCCTTTCATCCCGGGGCATGTGAAAAGGCCTTCTTCCCCCCAACGCTGAAACGCAGCTGTATTTGAGGCTGAACGCAGCAGCTGTTTGACAGCCTAAAAAACCACTCTGTAGCCATTTAGATAAGAAGAACACTGCATCCAATTAAAATGACAAAGGAAACGATAACGCTGTCATTTCCCAACCTGGAATTCGGCCAGGACGGCCAAATGCTCTTACCGGACACCTCTAATGACCAAGAGCTGGGAGACAGGCTTCAGCCTGGGCTGAGCGTGCCGGCCCCGGCCGCGCGCCCGGTGGGACGTGGGATCGGGAGCATCCTGAGGAGCACGTCTGCCCCGGGAACCTTTCCGCCACCGGGATTTACCTCCTTGGCCCCAGAGCCACCACCAGACCCAACCTCAAAACCACGTGGCCGTCCCAGGTGCTCCAGGCGGCCCCCATTGGTATTTCCCCGGTAAAGGTCCCGTGCTGGGGTGGGGGGAGGCAGGGAGCGGGGCGCAAGGGGACACGCGTGGCTCACGCGCCACTCGGAAAACCGCGCGTTAAACCGAACCGAAAAAGACTTGCCTCATCTCTTTTAAAGAGACTCGGATATTTAAGGCTGCATCCTCCTCTTCCTTTTAACCAGTGATGCACCTCGGTCGACAAGCAAAGAAGAGGAAACGTAACAACGAAAACCTTTTAAAGCCAAACCCAGGTCCGAGACTTGAATAAACATACACGACTCATGTAACGCATTCCTCGTTCAACCTGACGGACATTTCCACCCTCAGCAGCATGAGGGTGCTGAGTGATTTCTTCTGCCCATCAGATCTGAGCGCTCGAGGAGCGGCACGTACCCAGGAAGAGACCAGCTCCCTCTAAAACACTAAAAAAGCAGAAATGCATTTGATTTCTCCCTCCCACCAGAAGAAAGGATGTTTTGGAATAAACCTGCTGATCAGCTGCTATCTTCTTTGCAGCCTCTTGGACACACGTCGCAGACCGGGTTTGGCGGAGCCTTTGAAACAAGCCCCAGCTTGAGATCAGCCTAGAAGGCAGCTTTGCAAAGCCGGCTCCTTTAGATCCTCGCTCTCAGGCCAGCAGAGCCCAAGCACTCATTAAACGCTCTCCGCAGCAAAGTTGCTAATTCCTCCTGAATTCCCAGGGCACGTATGTCTGCAAAAGCAAGTTCCCTTGATCTCAGTTTACCCCAAAACATCCCTTTTCCTAGCACGAGAGCAAGGCAGCAGATGCATCACAGGGCAAGGGATATCGCACCACGCCGTGTCACCAGCTAAGGCAGTCAAGAGCCAGCAAGGCAGATGTGGGTAAAGCAACAAGCACGTAAAGCCAAGCAACGGCGCAAAACACCGCTTACATCTTTCAGCAGTGGCCTGCCTCTTAGGAAGTTACCATGACTGTATTTCTTCACAAGAGAATAAAAGAGGAGAAAAACCTCTATGACATAAATCTGCTAAAATGCACCAATTTCACCACCATAGAACAGGAGATCAATGCCAATAAGACCCTTTTACTCGGTTGTCGCGCTCTCCTGCGACTGAGAAAGCCGGACTTGCACTGGTTTTGGCGGAGCAACAGAGGAAAGGGCCAGGAGGTGTAGCCAGGTGTATTTTTAGAACTGGGCCAAGCTGTCTCGTTAAACAACGCTGTCCTCCCACAGCTCAGCTGCTCTGGGACGGGAACCACCGGAAAACAACTCCTCGCAGGAGCGACTGCGACCGGGAGAAGAGCCTTTAGAGAGGCCGGGGCTGCCCGGGGAGGCTTTGAGATACCGTGCGCTCTCTAGGCACGCTAGTTCAAGATTTAAGTTTCCAGATTTCCTGGTAGCTGTTGACCCCGGGGGCATCGTTAGCGGGCTGGGCTGGTGAGACCACAGGTCTGCATTGATTTGAAGCCTGCAGCGTGCTGGACTCAGCTCCCGCCTGGATCCTGCAGCCTGCGGCCAGAGCTACAAAAGACGCCCTGGCAAGAAAACGTGGGAGCACGAGCTCTCCTCTCCAAACATCTCCTCTTCCCTGCCAAAGCCAGTCAGGCTGGTTTATCTCTGACGTGCAGGCTCAGAGCGGGCAGAGCCCAGGTCTGGGGGATGGATGGTGACTCTCCAGGCCATGCAGAGTTGAGGACTGTGATCCTTGATGGCAGAAGTCCTGCCGAAGCGTGCCAAGGCCCTTCCTGGCAGGAGAAACGGCGAGGACGTGCAATGGCACACGTGAAAAGGCAAACCATCCCAGCTTGCCCTGAGCCACCTGACCCCACGCTGGAGCTGGGTCCTTTAGTCATTTCAGACATACTCTCTGGTGTCATCACTCTCCGGTGGAGCTCCCCTCCTACTGCAGCTCCCAGGCCCCTTTCTCTCCTCACGTCAAAATCCCACCATCCTCCATCTAAGACGGGCTGTTGTCTGCCTAAGGAGCGTTTTTAAGTCTCGAGCCAACTCTTCAAAATGCCTCTTTCTCCTCGTTGGAGAAATCCCCCGTTACAGGATTAGGCTTGCTTGCTGCAATACCAGTTATCCGTACTGCAGTAGCGCTAGCAAGGAAAGGGAACCCACTGGACCGGGTGCTCTCTAGTCCCGGGAGGGTGCAGCGGGTTTTCCAGCAACGTTGCCCTCTTTCTCTCACCCCTCTTGGGATGTTCAAATTAATTGGCTTGTTTCCTGGAGCTTTTAGCTGGAACAAATAAAAGGAAAGGGGTGGGTGCAAAACCCATAATAAGGTCTACAGTTCCTTTGAGCTACAAGGACTGCTTTAAATTTCGGGTGGGTTTTTTTTTTTTTTTTAAAGGAGGAGGTTTCCATGGTAACTGTCTTCCATCACCCAAGAGCCGGCCCCCAGGATATTTCGAGGTTGCAAGTTCTGCTTTCCCAGGCAGGGATGCTGTCGTGACAGCTCGCTCACTGCTGATCCTGACCATCGCAGTCCGCATTTTACGGCCGGAGGAGGAGGAGGGCACGGGCCAGGGGTGGGAAAAAGAGCCCCGTACCCCCAAACCCAGCAGGCAGCTCCCCGCGCACCACCTCACACCTCCCAAAAGCCTGAGCAGACATGGGGGAAAGCTCCCCAGGGGCTTCCCAACGCTGCCAGCGACGCGGGGCACGGGCTGCGCGGAGGGGGCTGTATTCGTGGCGAGAAGGTAAATCCTTGCTGCAGCTCCTCTAGGCGATTCCTCCTTTCCCTGGAGGAAAATCACGGCCACGGGGAAATCCCACCTCCCAAAATTGCCTCGCAGGTCCCCTGAAACGCAGAAAGCCCCAGGCGGGGGCCACATTCAGAGAGCGATGCATGCTCTCGCCCCAAGCATCCCCGCATCCGGGGAGCGGAGCAGGGTTAGAAACAGCAGCGCGGGAGCCGAGGATGCTCTCCTGCAGGTGGGCGCTCCTCTCCGTTAAGCCGCAGCTGGAGACAGCCCCAAACTGGCCATCAGCATCTTCCTTTATCTAGACAAATCCCCCCGGTGCGCGAGTGTTACGGTTCAGGGCGAACTGTCAGCCACGGGCACGGCGGCTGCAGAAAAGCCCGAGCCGATCTGCAAGGAAAAGGACATCCAGTCGCACATGACGGCGCCTTCGCCGCTCAGATCCCTCTCTAATCCCGCAGGGCAAAAATTCCTTCATTTGAAGGACTGCTCTGCACTGACACTCAAAGAGACGTGATTTCATATCCTCCATTTAGCTGGATAAGCAGCTATTTAAATTTAAAGAAAAAAAAAGGAGA